GTCTCCGCATTTTGGCTGCTTCCCTGAGTTGGTAGAGTAGTTTTGTGTGCTAGGTGTCCTATAGGGCCCAGGGGCTCAGCTGAGATGGACACTCTTGATGTACCCCTTTCTGGGCTGTGTGCATATTCTTGTTGTAGTTAAGCCTTGATTGTTGTCAGTATCGCTGGGAGGAAATGACCTCCAGGCCAATTGGCTGTGAGAATCAGCTGTATCTGCAATGGGAGAACTTCTGTGCTGGAGACACCCTTATGAGACAAGACTTGCTTCAGTGGGGCTTTGGTGCTCACTGAGTCTGCTTCCAGAGTGTGTCCCTTATGAATCTGAGGAGTTGCAATCTGGATGGTCCCACTCTGACTCCTGGGTACACTGGCTCTTGGATCTCCAGGGAAATGCTAATTTAGCTCTGCCTGAGGCCACTCTGCAGGAGCTATTGAGAGATCTTCGGATTCCTCTTTTTGTTTGGGTTTTGGAGTTGCCCAGGTGAGGCCCAGCTGTAAAACAATGCAAGCTGCAGTGGGGTCTTGGGGCTTCTTTTGGATGTTCTGGGTTTTACTGACTCCGCTGCAGTTTGTTATGTAAGTTTAGAATTCAAAGGACCAGACCATTCATATGCAAAAGTCTCTGCGCTCAGCTTGAATGAGGCGGAGTCTCAGGATAGAGCAAATAGCAATGGCTTCGTGGGGCAGGATCTCAAGCTGGAGCAAACAGCAATGGCTTCATGTCAGCCCTGCCCTAAGAGGCCCCCTGGATCTCAGTGTCCAGCGGTAATTGCTGCAAGCACCTCTGAGAGAAAGCTGCCCTCGAGTTTCACCCACTGCCAGACAGTCCAGTTTTTCCCCATATGAATCTGGGTCCCCAGAGTCTCGCCCAGAACTGGAGTTCAGAGCAGTCGGGAGCTTGTGTCTTCCTCCTTCTTGAAAAAGACAGCCGCATACTCAGTTGCCAGTCCTCTTTGTGCATGTGTGCCTCTGTACCTCTGCCTTCTGCAGCTCCTGTGAGTCTCAGTGTGCTTTTCTTTTTCCTTCTAGTTGTAGAATTTCCACTCAGCCAACCTTCCTGTGGTTCTGGATGATGTCCGTTTGTCTTTTAGTTGTCGTTTTGAAAATTTTGTGTGAGGCAGCAGTTCAGGTGTTTACCTATGCCGCCATCTTGGTTTCTTCTAGGCAATCAGTTTTGAGTTAATTTTTATGTGCAGTATGTGGTAGTTATCCAGTTTCTTTCTTTACTTTTTTTTGTTGTTTGCCAGCACCATCTGTTATAAAGACTATTCTTTTCTCTTTAAAATTTCTTGGCACCTTGTTAAAAATTGATTGACCATAAATGTAAGGGTTTATTTTTAGGCTCTTATTTTTATTTCATTGATTCATATGTCTTCTTTATTCCAATATCACAGCCTTAGTTATTTTAGCTTTGTAGTAAATTTTGAGAAATATATCTTCCAAATTTGTTCTTTTTTCCCCCAAGATTGTTTTGGCTGCTCTGTGTCTTTTGCATTTCCATATGAATTTTAGGATCTCTTTCTAGAAAGAAGCTGGCAGGGATTGTGTTAAATCTGTAGAAAATTTGGGGAGTGTTGCCATCTTTGGGTTACCAACCTGAGAAAATGGGGTATCTTTTCATTTATTGATGGCTTCTTTAATATCTTTCAATAATATTTTATATTTTTCAGTGTACAAGTTTTTCACTCCTCTTTTTAACATATTCCTAAGTATATTCCTAAATGTTTTTATGATTGGAATGGGTTTCTTCATTTCAATTTTAGATTGTTCATTTTTAGTATATAGATATACAGGTTGGGGCAAAAGTAGGTTTACAGTTCATATAGAAAATAATACAATAAATAATAATACAGGAATAAATTTTGTGTTTCACATACAAATGTAAGCCTACTTTTGCCTCACCCTTATGCTTTGAAAACTACAAGTAACTTGTTTATTGCTTCTTCTAGTTTTTAGTAGATTCCTTTGCTCTTTTTCTTTGCAAGGTCAAGTTGTCTGTAAATAAAGAATTTTATTTCTTTGTTTATTTCTTGTATGTATGCTCTTTACATCTTTCTAGTCTAATTGTGCTGGCTGTAATCTATAGGACAGTGTTGAACAGAAGTTGGTGAATAGACATCCTTGTCTTGTGCATAGGCTCAGAGGGAAAGCATTCAGTCTTTCAGCAGCTACTGTGATGTTAGCTGTAGATTTTTCATAGATGCTCTTTATTTTGTTGAAAAGATTCTCTTCTGGTTCTTGTTTGACCAGTGTGCATTTGTCCTTCCTTCCTTCCTTCCTTCCTTCCTTCCTTCCTTCCTTCCTTCCTTCCTTCCTTCCTTCCTTCCTTCCTTCCTTCCTTCTAGCATGAAAGAGTATTGGAATTTTCAGATTTTTTTAAATCTGTTGAAATGATCATGTAGTTTTTGTTAATTACTTCATTATGTAACTAGAGATTGGTGCATGAAATTCATGCATGGGGGGATGGGTCCCTCAGCCCAACCTGCACCCTCTCCAATCCAGGACCCCTGATGGCTTAGGCCCAATCCCTGAGATTCTCTGCTCTCTGCAGGTCCTGGCCACTCTGTACCTGCTGCCCAGAGGCTCTCCTCGGCCCAGAGGTCCTCTGTGACTGGGGCAGGACGCTGCCTGCTCTCAGTGGCTGCCCTCCCCCCCCCCCCCCAGTATTTGTGGCTATGGGCACCACCATATTTATGATGGAGTGATGGTTAATTTGCATATTACCCTTTTATTAGATAGTATGTACTACATGAATTGATATTCAGATGTTAAGACACCCTTGCATTCATAAAATAAGTTTTTCTTGTTTATGATGTATAATTTTACTTATAGTAGAGGCCTGGTGCACGAAATTTCATGCACAGGCATGGTTCCTAGGCCTGGCCTGCGATTAGGGCCATCTTCCCTGGCTGCTGGCAGCTGGTCCCCTCCTGCCATCCTGACCCCTGGTTTCCCGTTCATCATCAGGCGATTGGAGCCTGCTGGCTAGGGGAAGGGACTGAGAGATTGGCCAGTAGCTCCTGTGTTGAGGGTGTGCCTCCTGGTGGTTAGTGTGCATCATAGAAACCAGTCATTCTGCCATTCGGTCAGTTTGCATATTACCCTTTTATTATATAGGATGTTTCTGGATTCGGTTTGCTAGTATTTTGTGTCTATATTCATGAGGGATATCCATCCTTTTACTATAAAATTATTTTTGTCTATATTTAAAGTATATTTCTTAAAGAATATACTTGGGTCATGCTTTTTGATCCAGTCTTAACAATCTCTGCCTTTAAATTGGCATATTTAAAGCATTTACACTTAATGTGCTTATTGACATAGTTAGGTTTAAATGTATCATTTTGCTATTTCCTATTCATCCCACATGTTTTTGTGTTCCACCTGCTGTATAATCTTGCCATTTGTTTACTGTTCACCCCAGTTATTTTTTTGTCTCCTCCCCTTTTTTCTGCTTTCTGTTACATTTAAAAAAAATTTCTATAATTCCGTTTGATCAGCTTGTTGGCTTACTAGTTAAACCACTCTTTTCTTATTTAGTGGTTGCTTTACGGTTTGCAGGGCATATCTTCAGCTTTGCAGACTGTTGTAGACACACTGTGTGCACAGATGCTGGCTGAGGCCGCCCACAGGTGTGGCAGGGCAGAATCAGCTTTGGAGAGGTCATCAGGGAGGTGCTAGGGGGACGAACAGTATTCGAAAGGTTAACGGAGAGGCAGAAATGGCGCCTGCCAGCATCAGACCAGTTAGATGGAAAGAGAGCGAAACAGTGGGGGAAAGTGGCACCCACCAGCACTTTGAACTCCGGGGAAAAATCCCTGCCCCTCCAGCACATGCCTTAAAGCTGGTGGATGTTATCTATCACTTTCGTATATGACACAGGTGCTTTTCAAACTGCTGCCTCCGTGCTGGATCTCAGAAAGAGCACACTTGGGTTTCCCACAGCCCTTTGGCTCACCCAGAATAAGTCTTTCCGGTTTACAAAGCCAGATGCTATAGCAGCTCCTCTTACTGTGCGGGTCCCCAGGCTGAGGCGTGGACCCCTCGCTCTTGGTGGGAGACCTCTGTAGCTGTGATATCCCTCCCACTGAGGCCACCACACGGGGAAAGGGATGAGGGTGGGCCCTGACTAGACTGAGCCTCTCTTACCCATCTCAGTGTGGCTTCTCCTTTATATGTGTCGTTGGGGGAAATCTGTTCTGCTAGTCCTCAGGTCATTTTCTGAGACAGCTGTTCTGTGTGTGGTTGTAGTTTTGGTGTCAATGAGAGGAGGTGAGCTCAGGATCTTCCTGATTTGCCATCTAGAAGCCAAAAGCCAGAGGGAGTCTTGTTCTTGAATGCCAACTTAACTTGTCCATGAAATGTGTCTTGTGATTGGTGCCCTGATCCTACAACAAATGTGTCTCTTTATCCCGCTTACATGTCTGGCACATTTAACAGACTCCCTTTACTTTCCTTATTTGTGACTTAGATGGTTTCATGTATGTGTTACAGTGTGTAAAGTATATTTTCCTGATAGGGTAATCCTGAGCATTAAGCTAACTCATAAAGTATGAAATTATTTGTTTATTGGCCCCCATTATAAAGTCTTTGGGTTACTAAAATAATTGATTTGGAGCAATTGAATTTTTTTCACACTTTTTTTATGAGGGCCATTTTATGTTTCAAATTTTGCTTGGACATCACTTTAGATATATGAGGCTTAAAGAGAAAATTGGGAGTGGGGATTTTCTTTTTTTTTCTTTCAGATTTAACATTGAGATTGTTCAATTCCATTTTTATTAACTTTTAAGGAGTCCAGGTTATAAAAATTACAAATAGAAAGAAAAATCTGCCTTCCTCTAAATATTTGAGCATCTTAGAAAGACAGATAATTTGATTTATTTAGTGATACCTAATGGCATTAAGCACGATTATTTTAACTTGTTTTCTTTTCTACCAACAGATTAATATTAAAGTTGGAAGTGTGCATCTTTTGCTGGATATTGGAAATTGAGTGTAATGGCAACAGAATTTATAAAGAGTTGCTGTAGAGGATGTTTCTATGGTGAAACAAAAAAGCACAACTGTGAGTTTCGTTTTATGACTTCAACAAACACTTATTTAATGTCTCCTTACTTGTGGAATTTTGTAATATAAAAATAAATGAGACATATTTCCTAACTGCAGAGGGAGGTAGAAACATAAATATAAGGCACGCTAGGTAAATATTAAAATACCCGGGCAAAGGGGGGAGAGATGAATTCAACCCAGGAGGCCCTCAGGGACAGTCCCACAAAGGTGGCGGCATTTGGTATGGAAGTGGGAAGAAGGAAGTAAGGGAAGAGGAGGGTTGGACGCGAGTATCACCATTGGATTAACTCTGGGTGTCCCTTACCTCCCGCCCAACTCACTCGTTTTAGGAATCAAGTACCGTTCTGTCGAACAGAGTGGGTCAGAGCAGCTAGCACAAGGAGAGTTGCTGTCATGTTAGGGTCAGTGTACTGGTATATTTTATTTTGTGATTTGGTGAAGAGACCTCCATTTAGGCTTTTCAGAATTGCTTTATGTATTTAAGACTGCTGTAACCATTAGTATTGACAAGAAGAATTGCTTTGTTGAGAGTAGTTTTAAATGAGTAGATTTTACTTGAAAGTATTGTGCAATTAACTTCAGAATAAACTTGTTTTTCCACATATAACTCTCATGGGAATGAGTCTTTAAAACCTCCTTTAACCATTCCGATGTTAATATACTTTGGCAGTAGTATATTAATTGCTTAAATATTGGCTGGACAGAATTTAATGTAGAGTCCAGAAGTGCTTGGTAGGACCCAAGAGTAATTTATGTATCAGCCGTTTCTTCTGAAATGATTGAATGAGTACCAAAGCATGTTAGGTTTAGATTTTTATATATAAATCTGAACACATATTTGTGATTGTTTTCCTTTTTCCTTCCCTTCTTTTCTCTGCAGTGGAAACTGACTTTAAGACAGGAGTCTCTGCTAGTCAAAATGCCACCATCTGTGCACCTCCACTGGCTTCTGTGTGTGTGAAGCCGCAGGTTGGCTGCACTGAGGATTATTTACTTTCCAAGTTACCATCTGATGGCAAACAAGTACCATTTGTGGTGCCCAAGTTCAAGTTATCTTATATTCAGCCCAAGACGCAAGGAACTCCTTCACATCTAGAAGAACTTGAAGGTAAACAAGAAAATGCCAGGGTTTAAAACTCAGCATGTAATCGTTTAATGTTGTTATTGCTCTATTTAACATAAAGGTATATCTTTTACACGCAAATTTTACATTTTGCTTTTTGTGTTTTGCTCTTTCTGTAGAGGAATTTAACATATAGAGTTTTTGAAAGCTCTCATTATGAAATCTGACCATAGTACAACACATTTGTATCTATAATTGGCCTTTTTTAAAGGAGTAATTTCTATATATAAAAGGCTGAGTGACCAACTCTACATACATCCAACCAACCGACTTGTACATGAGCTAGACATATAAAGCTCTCACTGGCGCCAATCGCACATGACTGACCTGACCGTCTGGTACATATGGTGCACACTGGCAATTTAAAAATAAATGTTGACTTGTGCATACGCCATATATATTAAAATATTTTGTATTAGAGGCCTGGTGCATGAAATTTGTGCATGGGGGTGGGAGGTCCCTCAGCCCAGCCTACACCCTCTCCAATCTGGGACCCCTTGAAGGATGTCCGACTGCCCATTTAGGCCTGATCCTGGCTCCCAACTGCTCACTTGCCTGCCTGCCTGCCTGCCTGCCAGCCTGATCACCCCCTAACATTACCCTGCCAGCCTGATCGACACCTAACTGTTCCCCTGCCAGCCCAATTGCCCCTAACTGCCCTCCCCTGCCAGCCTGGTCCCTCCTAACTGCCCTCCCTTGCTGGACTGGTTACCCCTAATTGTCCACTCCTGCAGGCCTGGTACTGCCCCAGTTGCCCTCCCCTGCAAGTCTGGTCACTCCCAGCTGCCCTCCCCTGAAGGCCTGGGTCCCCCACAACTGTCCTCCTCTGCAGGCCTGGTCTCCCCCAACTTCTCTCCTCTGCGAGCCTAGTCACCCCTAACTGCCCTCCTCTGCAGGCCTGATTGCCCCCAAATGCCCTCCCTTGTAGGCCTGATCCTTCCCAACTACCCATCCCTGCTGGCCTGATCGCCCACAGCTGCCCTCCCCTGCTGGCCATCTGTGGCAGCCATCTTGTATGTTGGAGTGATGGTCAATTTGCATATTACCTCTTTATTATATAGGATATTATGTATACTATTTTGACATGTAATTTTTTGCAGTAATGTAATTTCCACACGAATCTTTCTTCTAATTAATTTCCTTTCAATGTGTACGAACCCGTGCACTGGGCCACTAGTATAATTATAATCAGATGTCCTTGATATGTCTAGAAGGAAAAAATAGAGGAATTATTCTGGATTTGATCAGTAAGTAGAGAAAACATTCTGTCTACTGTTTCCTGAAGTTTGGTATAAAGAGAAATAAGAAAGCAATGAAATAATCTTTCTTCCTTCCCATTGTTCTTCACCATTGTGCTCCCCAGTTTATAAATAACACTTGCCAGTCTAAATAGCTGCTTGAATGAGGCAGATTCATTGGCTTGAATTTTGGCTGATATTGTAGAGGTCAATGGACTAATGAAGAGGAAACAACATGTAACTCTTGTATTTTAAAAATAATTTGTTCTAGTGGATTGAAACAGTCCACTAAATACAATCATTGTCCACTAAACACAATGATTATTTTTTCTCAAAATTTTATGAAAAGTTTTCAAACATACAGAAAAATTGAAAGAATGTAATGGTAAAAACCTCTACTTATATACCACATAGATTTTTACATTTTAATATACTTCCTGTCACATATATTCATCTATTCATTTCTCTGAGCATTATTAATACTTGTGGAGGAGGATGCATGTCAGAGTAAATTATGGACATGAGTAGACTTTCCTCTAAATATTTAAGCATTTATATCATTTACTAGAGTTCAGTATTCTTCTTTCAACATAAACTTTTCATTCAGTGAGCTGCCCAAGTTTTAAGTGTGTAATTTTTGAGTTTGACAAATGCATATTCTAATGTAATAAAAACTCTTATCAAGACCTAGAATATTTCCTCAAATATTTTTTCTCTTCGGGTTTTCCAATTACACACGTGTAGGACTCTTCGATGTTGTTTTGTGTGTTTCTGAGACTTCTCCCCTCTTCTCCCCCCCCGATCTTTTTTCTCTCTTTCTGGTGTTAAGATTGGATAATATTGATCTACTTTCAAGTTATTTGTCTCTTTCCTTTGTTATCTCCATTCAGTTGTTAAGCCTATCCACTGAATTTTCTGTTTTAGACATATATTTTTCATTATTGTGAGCCATTTTCTTTTATATTTTTGAATTTCACGTTTGTCTAAAAATTCTCACATTGAGCCGAAACCGGTTTGGCTCAATGGATAGAGCGTCGGCTTGGGGACTGGAGGACCCGGGTTCGATTCCGGTCAAGGGCATGTACCTTGGTTGCGGGCATATCCCCAGTAGGGAGTGTGCAAGAGGCAGCTGGTCGATGACTCTCTCTCATTGATGTTTCTAACTCTCTATCTCTCTCCCTTCCTCTCTGTACAAAATCAAATAAAATATATTTGAAAATAAAATAAAATAAAAATTCTCACATTGAGGTCATCTAGGTTTGAATTCGGTGTATTGTCTTTTTGTTTGAGAATGGGTCATATTCTCCCATTTCTTTGTGTTTGGTAACTTTGGATTGTATTCCGGATGTTGGATATTATATTTTAGGGATTCAAATCTGTTATATTACTCAGAGGGTTATTTTTTTTTCTTTCCTTTCCTTTTTTTTTCAACAGGCAATTAACTTTGTTGGATTCAGCAACTTGGTGGTGGCAGCTCTTACCTCAGCTTAGTTTTATTATCCTTAGCTGGAGTCTGTCCCACACATGTGTGGTTCAGGGATCAGCCAGGTATTTGAGCAGACTTTATTCACATAATCTGGGGTTTTCGCCTTTCCAAGATTCCCACCTTACCTTCTAGCTGCTGTGATTGCTCTGAACTTTGCCTTCTGGTTCTTTAGGCCAAAAAGACTGGATTTTCTACCCGCCCTGCTCAGCGCCAACTTTGGCCTGCCCTTAGGCTAAAAGTTATTAAAAACAGATAACTAATTTCATACTGTTCTCTTTTTATTCCAACAGTCAAATCCTGTCCAGAATCTGCATTGCTTTTATTCACGCTCCAGTGCCTTTGGGTTTTTAGTGTTATCTATAAGCAAAGAAGGTCTAGTAGGAGTGATTTTTTTTTTTTTTAAAGAAACAAGGAAAGATGAACTTTGTCTTGTTTTTCATATATCTTAAAAAATAGTTTTTAAAATCTCTGGCTCACAGGATACCATGATTAATTGATTTTTCTCTTTTCTCATACCTGTTCAACAATATTGGGATTAAGCCATGTAAACAGCCTTGCAATTTATAATATTCGAATCATATATTATGAACATGTTTTCATATTCATTACTTTTTAATGGCTTTATAGTATTCAATTATATAGATGTACTACAATTTATAAATTATCTATTCTTAGACATTTAAAGTATTTTCTGGGGGGGGGGGGGAGCCACGGTTGTAATCAGAAAATAAGTAAGAAATACCTAACCAGGCAATATGTGGTTATTTTTCTTTTCATTGTGTCGTTAATAAATATTACATTTTTAGTTGACTAAGAAATTGACTTACACTTAGATTATAGGCTCACTGAGGATGTGGTGAAGCCATCTGATTTTTAGCATATTGGAGAGAGAATTACTTTATATAACGAAAGTCAGGAAAGTATTCTCGGTACCTAATTATAGAAATAAAATATGTGTAAGCTGTATGTGCAAATGCATGTGTGAGTGATGGACTGATATGGAGATTTTGAGAAGCTAGAGCAGGCCAATATCAATTGTGTCTTAAATTATGTTTCAAATATTTGAAATTTGTTTTGTTGCTTTACTCACTTGCTAGTAAGTCTGATTACAATTATAGCTTCCTGCTTTGATAGCAGACAGATTTATCATTAAATTTTTATTGTGCTGGCTTTTTCATCTACCTACCTATCCATCCAGAGGTTACAATTTGAATTAATATTGAAATTTCAAAGAGGGCTTTTGAGATGTGTTGGCAATTATGTAACTTTACAACAGTATGGCTCTATAAATTGAGAGAAATTCCTCTTGAACTTAAAAACTGATATCACTGTGTACTGTTTGAGGGGAAAATTGGAATTCTGAAGTGGCTTACTTATAAAGGAAAAATGGAATCAGAATATTCCTTTTTAGGTATAGCCTATCAAGGTAGTGAGTGAGTCATACTCCGGACAGTGCCGTTCTGTTACCACAGACGTTCGTGGTTGTTTATGTGTTGAAGGAGTCAAATGTTAGCTCACGGGCTGCACACTCTTTAGCTCTCTGGCGTCCTCGCTCCCTCTTGGCGCCCCTCTGACCATGCACTGTGCTTGGATTGTATACGTAGTGTTTTTGGAAACAGGACGAGGATAGAATCTTACCTCATAACCTCTTATTTTTCTTTTCTGAACTCAATGTCAAGCTACCTGTTTTATTGTTTAGCTTAATTCAGACAATACTACTTTATCCTGTGGGTTCTGTTTTAAATGGAACAAGAAGAGTGAAAACATGGTGATAATTTAAACATTTAAAACACTTTATGTGTTTATATTATTTCCAGTGTGATTATAAGCTCTGAAGGAAATTTGATCTAAATATAAAACACATGTAGAAAACAGGAACAAAGAAATCCATAGCGCAGTGATTTATTACAAAGCAAATCATGTGTCTAATCACCACTCAAAAGCATGTGTCTAGTCACCACCCAAAGCTTCCATCTTTCCCTTTCCAGTCACTTCAGAATAATCAGTATTGATTTTTTGCTTTTCTTACTTTTTACACTTAAGTACATATCCCTAAATGTTATGGTTAGTTTTTTGTATGTTTTCTGACCTTTATATAAATGAAATAACATATTCAATATATATTCTTTTGTTTGTGGGTTCTTTCAGTCTGCATTATGTTTGTGAAATTTACTCAAATTATTGTTATTATGGTTCAGTTTGTTTTTATATCCGTACAGAGAGTGTATTTATCTATTGTTTTCTAATGGATGAGATACAGAAGTGTTTCTGTATAGCATACTATAAGACACCGGTCACCAACCTTTCAGACTTGACGGACTACTTGTGGTCCATGGACCACCAATTGGTGATCACTGCATACGGTATTTTCATGTAACAAGTATATACTCCAGTTCATCTATTTTTACTGTTGATGGGCATTTGAGTCTTTTCCAGTTTTTGACAGTAATGTATGATGAACATTCTTGACTTACCTCTCGGTGCACATGTACAAGCATTTCAGTTGTGTATATGTCCCAGAATGGCATTTTGGGATTGTAGGTTATAAATATTGTTAGCTTTAGTAGAAGTTAGCAAACTTATCAGTTTACATTTTCATCAGCAGAGTATGATCATTCGCATTGCTCTGCTCTCTTGCCAGCACTTGCTATTGTCAGCTTTTTAATTTTAACCATTCTGATGAGCATGTAGTGGTATCTTATTAAAGTTTTAATTTTCCTCCTGACCAATGAGATTGAGCACCAGTCATGTTTATTGACTATTTGAATAGACTCTCTTTTAAAGTGTCTGCTTAAGTCTTAAGCTAATTTACATATAGGCTTGCTTGCTTTTTCCTTATTAATTTGTGGGAGTTCCTCATAAGTTCTGGATATAAGCCCTTTGTTAGTTATATTTATTGCACACATCTTCTCCCCTCTGTCTGTTACCTCTTTACTTTTTAAAATAGTCTTTTGACAAATGGAAAATTTCAAATTTAATGTAGTTGAGTTTATTAAAAATTTGTAATGATTAAGGCTATGTTCCCTTTAAGAAGTGCTTCTCTGCCCTAAGGCTGTGAAGACTTTCTGATAAATGTACTTACTATAGAAGTTTTATTGGTTTGCCTTTAACATTATTTTAGAGCTATAACCCACAATAAATTAATTTTTGTGAATATACTTAGCTGGGATGAAGGTTGTTGTTTTCTCTATATTAATATTTAGTTGTCTTACCCTTTTTCTATTGTTGTGCAGTGCCACACTGATTTTAAATCCAGCATCCATAAAATGCATGTCTCTTTTTGGACCTTCTATTCTGCTCCACTGATCTTATCATTGGTGCCCGTATTCCTTTCTTAATACTCAGTAGAGCAAATCTTTCAATCTTGTTTTTTTCTAAAATATTACCTTTTTTATTTTATTATTTTTTGATCCTTTATGTTTCAATATAAATATTTCCTATCTGTTTCGCTATTTGATTTCTAACTTTGTAGCATTGGTGTTAGAGAACATACTCTTTGATTTCAGTCCTTTATAATTTGTTGAGACTGGCTCTGTGTATCTCAGCATATGGTCAGTTTCTTTTCTTATTTAATAACGTTTTATTTTTCAAAATGTGCAGTTTGTGCGTGCATCTTCTCCAGCAGTTGGGGTATCCCCACCCTTGGTGTTTCCGGTGTCAATTACTGAGCCAGTTTAGAAAGTCCCTGGCTGAGGAAGCTCTATCTTCAATCTCTCAGCGACAACAGCTGGGCTCATCAGCTTATAGTTGGGAACTTCTTTACAGAGTTTGTCATGTGGTGCTTTGTCAAACAAGACTAGGCTATTGAGCTTTCCAAAGTTTGCCTTTGGACCGTGACTTCTTTTTGGTCTTGCCTCCAGATTTGTTTGCTGGGTCTTTGTCTTTCTTAGCTGACTTTCTGGCATCATTCTTCTTCCTGTCATGCTTGGGCAGTGTAGTGACCTTGAAGAGCAGCGGCTACCACTGATGTCTTGATAAGATGTCATACAAAGCCCTGACTGGTGTCCTCAGTGGTTAGATTATTGGCCTGCCCATAATTCCTGGTCTAGGGAGTGTGCCTGGGTTGCAGATTCAATCCCGGCCCCCATCAAGGTGTGGGGGGGAGACAGTCAATTGATATGTCTCTCTTTCACATTGATGTTTCTCTCTCTTTCTCCCTCTTCCCTTCTCCTCTCCTCCTCTCTCCCCCCATCCCTTCCACTCTCTCTGAAAAAATGAGGATTAACAACAACAAAAAGATGCCGGACAAAAAGTAGCTGGTGGTCAGTTTTTATAAATGTTATGGTCTTCATGAAAAGAGCACATTTCTAAAAAGAGATCATTTGTTTACTTAAAAGATGTTCTTGTAAGTAGAAAAATAAAAGGAAACTCCAATCACAAAATACTGAATTGGCCATAACATTTTGGAATAGCGTTCTTAGGGACAAAGAAAAATGTCAAAAATTTACCAGACTGTGTTGAGAGCAGGGTTCATGGCTGATCCCTGGCAGAATACTCCACATACTTAGAGTTTAGGAAAAGTGTGCTTATTTTTTTAGATATCAAACACATGTGAGTTAATATTACTCGAAACAATTTTTTTTTCTTTTGCCTTGAATGCACCAGCTGTTGGCTAATAACTCCAAGGAAAGGATGTCATAAAACTTTAGAAACATTTGCTTTCAGGATCTGCCAGAGCATCTTTTGGGGATCGCAAGGCAGAACTTTCCGGCTCCTCCCACCCAGGATCCAGCTATGACGTATACAACCCGTTCTACATGTATCAGCACATTTCACCAGATTTGAGTCGGCGCTTTCCTCCTACTTCAGAAGTGACAAGACTATATGGATCAGGTTTGAAATTTTTTACATGTTTTCCTCCTTGTAGCTCTTTCTTTTTTTTCAGAGTTCAGCTTTTTATTGAACATGTTACAAAAGAGGTTTAGTCAAAAAGACCAAAGCCCAGCCAAGACCGGTTTGGCTTAATGGATAGAGCGTCGGCTTGGGGATTGAAGGGTCCCGGGTTCGATTCTGGTCAAGGGCATGTACCTTGGTTGCGGGCATATCCCCAGTAGGGAGTGTGCAAGAGGCAGCTGATCGATGACTCTCTCTCATCCATGTTTCTAACTCTCTCTCTCCCTTCCTCTCTGTACAAAATCAATAAAATATATTTAAAAAAAAAAAAAGTCCAAAGCCCATCAGACTCCCCAAATCCTTCTTTCTTTGCTCCTACTTTCTCCTCCTCAGCTGGGGCAGCCGTGCCGGCTCTCTGTGTTTCTCTTTTAGCAAATGTACAAGTCAGATTAGACCAGAGATCCTGGAAGAGATGATTCTTATTATGGAAAACAATCTATATATATATATATATATATATATATAAGCCTAAGTGACGGTTCCACCAGTAGCTATGATGCCCACTGACCACCAGGAGGTAGACACTTTAACCAGTAGGTTAGCTTGCTGCTGGGGTCCAGCCTATTGGGACTGGGCAAGTCAGGCTGGGCTTGCCCTGGAGCCCTCCTGTGATCCCTCTCTGGCTCCGATTGTGCACCAGGGGGGTCCCTTGGCCTGGCCTGCACCCTCTCGCAACCCGGGGCCCCTTGGGGGATATCGGGGAGCTGGTTTTGGCCCAATCCCCACAGTCCAGGCTGAGGGACTGCACCAGTGCATGAATCCATGCACTGGGCCTCTAGTTTACAAATAAGGAAAAAGTAGGCTTCAGAAGTGATGAGATAAGCATCCTGACCTCTTTGTGGCATTATATCTAATATAAAAATGGAAAGACTAAAAGTTGTATGTGTTAGTGAGTTCTAAATTCCATTTTATTTGTCCTTTTTTGAAAAAAAAGTTTTATTTACAGATTATTTTTATATATTTTATATGTAATTTATCCATTCATAAATTTTACAACAGATATTTACCAGCTTTTTCCTTTTCTGCTTTATTTAGTAAAAATGATATATTTAGAAACATGATATGTTTACAAATGTAAACAAAGAAAATAGAAAATACCTAAATGATTTTTAGAACATTCTTAGTTTCATAGTTGAAACTGCATCAGTAATAGTCTATCTAGTACATATCTGATTCACAAATTTATCACTGTTCTTCTGGTCATGTATTTGTTTCAACCTTGAATTCAGGTACTAAAAATAAAGCAGAAATATTCATTTAAGTATTTATTTATTGCAGTACTGGACTAGCATGCACATTGGAAAAGAGTTCTATTCTTCCCGGACCTTACACTTCAGGAGGGAAACTAGCAATACAGGATCAACTGGGACTCTGTATTGATTTGTTAAAAATAAGTGCTCATTAAAAAGTTGAATTGCATTTAGTGCAGAGTACTTACCTCTTCTTTGATGATTCTTACGAGATGAAGAATTGAGGAATGTAGCAAAAAGAATGAATTTTTCCCTGCTTGATATTTGATGTGGATGTAAAAATGTATTGTTTGATTTTTATTGGTTTCTGTTTCAAACAAAGTAAAATAATGGAAAAAAATTGTTATAAAGTTTTATCTTATAAGTAGATTTGTGCATAATATTCTTGATGTATTCCTAAAAAGATTTAATTCATTGTAATTAAGTAGAATTTCTTCTTTTTTACTATAAGAATAAGTAATTTACTTACGTCTATTTATAGTTTGTGATTTAAGGACCAACAAACTCCCTGGTTCCCCTGGGCTAAGCAAGTCTATGTTTGATCTTACAAGTTCATCTCAGAAGTTCATGCAGGTAAATTATTTATATAAATTTAATTATATTCAATAATTTCTTTTCAAGCTAAAAATTCAGAAGCGTGTACGTTACATTAGGAACAACATGTTTTGCATCTTATGTAGATATATCTATTCTCATACTTTTTAGGATAAACACTTGATATTTCTCATTTGCATTATTTTAGCTTTCAAGTGAATAAAAAAGGCAGTAGTTGTTTTTTGTTTTGTTTTGTTGTTTTTTTTTTATGAATCTTACATCTCTCATTTGACATGCACTCAGATACTTGGAATTTAAATGGTATATATTTAGAAGTGCTTATTGATTTTACTTTCTTTAATAAACTTAACTAGTTAATAAAAAGTAGTATTTCTATTGAGATGTGGAACTTTATTTATTTATATTAAAATACTGTCCTATGCCGGTACCAGTTTGGCTCAATGGATAGAGCGTCGGCTTGGGGACTGAAGGCCTGGGTTCGATTCCAGTCAAGGGCATGTACCTTGGTTGCGGGCATATCCCCAGTAGGGGGTGTGCAAGAGGCAGCTGATTGATGACTCTCTCTCATTGATGTTTCAAACTCTCTATCTCTCTCCCTTCCACTCTGTACAAAAATCAATAAAATATTTAAAAAATAATAATAAAATAAAATACTGTCCTATGTTTCAAATAAAATTGACAAATTTTTGACAATTAAAAAGATGTTTATTTTTTTTTAATACAGGTGAACTGTGATTATTACTTAAAGCGTAGGAAGTAGAATTAAGCAAAGTAAAAAGACAAATCCTATAACCTATATTCCTATAACTGAGTAAAACCACTGTGAAAATGTCATTTTTACATATTTGTGGACTTTTTTCATGTGAATATATATTAATTAAAATGAAGTGTATTCTAAATAATCTTTAATAATCCCAGTTGAATTAAGTTTTTGCAAACATAATTCTTTACAGCACCAGTTCTTTAACACTGGTAGAGAATTGTGTAGAGAGCTGTTAAAATACAGGATGCCAGGCCTCACCCCCAGAGCTTCTGCTTCAGTAGCTCTGCAGTGAGTTTGTATTTCTAATGGTTTCCCAGGTGCTGCTGCCCCTCCCGGTCCAGAGGGAACCTGCTGTAATAACTTGCTTTACAGGTTGTTAGGTATCAGGGCACTTGCAAATATATTCAGATTTTTATTAGTACCTTTAAATCTGAAACATAGCCCTATCTCTTCTTCCTTATCACCAAACCAAAGCGAACAGCGAAGGCTTTCCCCTCTATTATCTAGTAAGATGTGTGAGCTTTTCCTGATAACACACACAGAAATCTTTTCCATCTAAACGCGGGAAATTCTGATCAGTAACTGGCCAAATAGTGAGCATGCATTTTGGTAGGAGGGTAGGTATTATTTCAGACTCCTTCAAGTTTGATATGTAGTTTCTGACTAAAGCATCCTATTTGTAGAGGCATGATTCACTGTCCAGTGTGCCTAGCAGCTCTTCATCGAGGAAAAATTCTCAGGGGAGCAACAGAAGCTTGGGTAAGGAACCAAGTACCCTATTTTTATATTCTGAAGGGAATTATTTCTACCCAATAGTAATGTTAATGTATATATGCTACAGTAGGAGAATCTATAGGCCCTCGGGTTACTTTGGAGATCCATTCCTACAATGTGACATAATGCAATTTTTATTGTAAGTCAGAACCCACCTATATAAGCAACTATGTCACTCACGTGTAGTAATGAAGTGAAACAGTAAAAAAAAAAAAATTAAAAGAACAATTCCTGACCTTTACTTGTGGTAAATACAGTAAATAATAAAAAACATAAAGTACATATGTACATAATCAAAATGATTGAACTTTTTTATATAAATAAATGGGAAATGGCGACGTTAACTACAAAAAGACATACCTGAGGACTGCCTATATATATATATATATATATATAGTATTTATATTATTATTATAATATTTTGTATATATAAAAGCCTAAGCAACCTTTACGACCAAACAACTGGAATGACTGGTTGATCCGTCGCTATGATGCACACTGACCACCAGGGAACAGACGCTCAACGCAGGAGCTGCCCCCTGGTGGTCAGTGCGCTCCCGCAGCGGAACGTAGCTCAGCCAGAAGCCGGGCTCATGGCTGGCAAGCACAGCTGCAGCATTGTGAGCCTCTCCTGCCTCCACGAGGCAGCAGGTGCACAGGGCCAGGATGAGACGCCCTGGCTGGGGCTCCTTCCGGCCGCTTGCCGTGTTGGCACTGCCACATCCCCCCAGGGGTCCAGGATTGCAAGAAGGGTGCAGACCAGGCTGAGGGACCCCATCAGCGCAGGAATCCAGGCACCAGGCCTCTAGTTACATGTGTGTTGGCAGTATTACCTGTGTATGAATATACATATCAGATGGACTTTGTTTCAGTGTTCAGACATGAATACATCTTTTTAAAAGTGGAGCAGTTAAATAGCCATTGTCGGTTTGTTTTAAAGTATATTAATAAGGACCTTGCTGAAGTGTAGAGTATTAAGGCCATATTCATATTACTTGGGAAAGTTTCTGTTTTAACTTAAATTTCTCAGGTTATAATTGGGTTACTTCTCTGTTTGTTGCATTACTTTTCTGTTTGTTTGTTAATCCTCACCCAAGGATATTTTTCCCCACTGGTTTTTAGAGAGAGTGGAAGGACAGGAAGAAAGGGAAGAGGGAGATGGAGGGAGGGAGAGAGAGAGAGAGAGAGGCATACAGAAAGAAAGAGAGAGACACACACATCAGTTGGTTGCCTGCCACACTAGCCCCTAACAGGGGTTCGGGGATCAAACCTGCAACCCTGCAGTGCATGGTCTAACCACTAACCCACACGAGCCAAGGCCCATGTATTATTTTTTTATAGTTTATCTTCCCCCTAGCACTTCAGTAAAACATTAAAGGATGATGTTTGTTTTATTAAATTGTCAACTTTAAAAAATAATTATAGCATTTTTCTATTTTGTCTTTAAAATTGAATTGTATCAAAGCTTAATTGGGTTAGAAAGATTGCATAGTATCTCAAACATCTTTGTCCTTTTACAATTCAGATACTATCACTCTGTCAGGAGATGAAAGAGATTTGGGGAGATTGAATGTGAAGGTGTTTTATAATTCTTCAGCAGAGCAAATCTGGATCACACTATTACAGGTACATTATTACAGTGAATGCCAAGTTTTCTTATAAAATCGAATATTTAGACATTGTAAGAATATACTTTTGCTCTCTTCTGGGGAATGGGTCATTATCTCTTTGGAATTTAGAGTTTTATAGTATTTTTCAGAAAATTGTAATAAAGAATCTAAAGAAAATAAGTTAGAAGGTGTGATGGAAGTATTTTATTTTGAACTTCAGAGATATTGATGTGATGTTTAGAACATTAAATGTCAAATTATTTTAATGTAGATGAAACAGGAGGTTTCAGTAAGTTTACTTTTACAGTTTGAATCTAAAGCCATTAACTCAAAAATATATAAAATGTTTGTATTGTCAGTATCCTTTGTAAAATTCAAGCTGTATTTTTAATTTTTTTAGTGCAAAGATTTAAGTTGGCCCTCCAGTTGCGGTAACACGCCTACTGTCTCTATAAAAGGAGTCCTGACATTGCCCAAACCAGTGCATTTCAAATCTTCGGCCAAGGAAGGCTCCAGTGTAAGTGGCTGTTTGTGTTTGAATTTCTTTTTATGTTTTTCTCATGTTTGTCACTTTAACTCATGTGAGGAATTGGAATAAAAAAGTGTTTTATTTTAGGAAAACTACAAATTATGTACCCCTTGTTTTTTAATGACGATTTTGAGCCTTACTAGTAAAAGTATTTGATATTTCATTGTCCAGTATTAAGGTGCATTTAAAAAGGAAATTTTAATTGCTAAAATACATAGAAGATGAACAAGATATAAGAAAACTATTTGTATTTCTCTTATGAAAGGGAAATAAATGTCTATTTTTTCATCCTCTCCCCTCATATGGCTTTTGAGAAATAATTGTATTATTGCAATTGATTCCTTTTAAATATTTTCCTTTATTATCCTGAATTTGGTTTATAGGCTCTAGATTTCACATTAACTTATCTTCATCTTTGTCTTTGGATATGGGTTCAGAGGTTAGTGTTTTCCCATGCAAGTGAAAGGTAACTATTGCAAAAACATCATTTAAAAATAAAGTAATTCAGATGCCTAAAAAACATGAAATTACATATTGGTTTCTCTTTATTTTCTGTCTTTTTTGTTATTAAAAGTAGAAAAAATTTTACAAGACTCTAGAACATAAAACTTTCTGAAAGTTATTTTAAAGACAATACACATCAAACCTTAAGTTATATATACTTTTTAATATAGTTATTCTACTTGGAATCTGTTCCATAGAAATAATCTAATATACGTGTAAAATACATACATAGGGTGGGGCAAAAGTAGGCTTACAATTGTTTATATGGAAAAAGACATGCGGACTGTGATTATTACAATAGCTTTTCTAACTCAAAAGCATGCCAAATGGCACAGTGCACTTGAGTACAATCTTGTAAGAGCTCAAATTGCCAATCATCATTATTTGCACACTAGAGGTCCTGTGCACAAAAATTCATACACTCAGGGAAGGAGAGATGTCCCTCAGCCCAGCCTGCGCCTTCTCACAGTCCAGGACCCCTCAGATGTGCTGGCTTAAGCCCATCTCCAGGGGATTGAGTCTAAGCTGACAGTCAGACATCCCTCTGGCAGCCTGGGAGCTGTAGGGGGAAGTCCAATTGATGACTTACTATCATTCCTGGGAGCAGGCCTAAGCCACCATAGGACATCCTTAGCGCTGCTACCATCCCTGAGCTCAGAGCTGTTAGCCCTGCTTGTGGCCGAGCAGAGCTCCTGCATTGAGCGTCTGCCCCCTGTGATGGTCAGTGCATGTCATAGTGACCGGTGGTTCCTGGCCGTTCTGCTGTTAGGGTCAATTTGCATATTGCCCTTTTATTATATAGGATTATATAGGATTCTCGTAGTCTACTTGCTATACTCAAGCACACTTTGGCACAGAGTTCTTTATTGTCATCAATTTGTCAACACGCTTCTCCATCATTGCCTAAAAAGATAAAGCATATGAAATAATAGCAATAATAATAAGAAAACAAATGATACAAATAAATAATAGAATAATCTAGAATAATAAAAGGATAATATGCTAATTAGACCAGACATTCTTCTGGACAAAGCTGGGTCCTGGGTGCCTGCTGGCAGCTGGAGCAAAGTCCGGGTCCCAGGTGCTGAGGGAAGCCAGTGCCAGCAGCCGAGGGGAGGAAAGCCTACTCTTGCACAAATTTCGTGCATCAGGCCTCTAGTTAATAAGCAATAGAATAAATTCTGTTTCATGTACTCATAAGTGTAAACCTACTTTTGCCTATCCTGTGTGTGTGTGTGTGTGTGTGTGTGTGTGTGTGTGTGTAGTATCCATAGTGGAAAAGTTGGAAACAATCTCAATATCTCATATAGGGGAATGATTGAGAAAACTCATGGAAACCGTATGTAATAGTTTCTCAGGGCTTTTGCTTAGAACAATAGAAATTGATCTCTCACAGTTTGGAGGAAGTCTGGTCTCAGGATCTCAGCGGCGTTGGTTCCTTTTCCAGGAGAAGATCTGTCCCAGGCTCTCCTAGTTCTGGTGATGGCCAGCAATCCCTGGCATTCCTTGCCTTCACTCTGATCACAGCTTCCATCTGCACATGGCATCCTGCCTGCCTCTCTGTGTCTTTTCACGGCCATTTTCTCACAAGGATACCAGTCAGTCTCTCTACTCTAGTATGATCTCATCTTAATTTCACTAATTACATCCTCAATGACCTTATTTCCAAATAAGCTCACATTCTGAGTCACAGTCAGAGTTAGGACTTCAACATACTTTTTTGGGAGGACACAGTTCAAACCGTAACACCATGTGATAGAATACTAGAAAGCTGTAAGAAATAATGTTTAGGGAGAGTTTTTAAGGATATGGGAAAATGTTCTTAATAAGTGAGAAGGCAGAAATCAAAAGTTATATATATATATATATATATATATATATATATATATATATATATATATATAGTAGGATATTCCTTTATAAAAATATAAATTATAGGACATCTAAATGAAAATGTCTTATCTCTGGCTATAATCTTGACACTTACCGTGTTTCCCCGAAAATAAGACATCCTCTGAAAATAAGACCTAGCGCACGGAAAGATAAGACATCCCCTGAAAATAAGACCTAGTGCAACTTTGGGAGAAAAATTTAATGTAATACACTGTCTTATTTTTGGGGAAACAGGGTACTTATTTCACATTTTAATTTTCAAATAAAATGAAGTAAACTTAGGAAAAATTAGGGGGGGAAAGAATGCTTAAGTGGTTCAGAGGTTCTCAGAAACACAATTCTGATACATAAACATAAAAATTACAATAAAAGAGAAAAGTTGAGCATAATATATAAAATATATTGTTAGTTGCCCAGATATCTTGCCTTTTCAAAAGAACAAAAACAACTCGTATTTCAAAGGGATGCATTAAAAATGGAAAGAAGGGAGTGTGTACAGTCTAGCAATCAAGAAAATGTTAGCCCATGGTAAGACAAGGTTTAAAAATATTAAAAGTAAGTGGGAGGTAATCAACCAAAGACATTGAATGCATATATACATAAACATGGACAGCAGACAGTGGGGTGGTGAGGGCCTGGGTGGGGGTTGAGGATGGGCTGGAAGGGGCCAATGGGGGCCATATGTAATACTCTCAACAATAAAGATTAAAAAACACATATTAAAAGTAACTAAAGGAACATTTGAAATTTTTTCAAGCATGGAAAACGCGGCTTGCTGCACAGGGTAAATGCTTAGTGAGAAGGTAGAACTTAACACTCACGTTTTTCTTTCTCTTCTCTATTAAGGAGATTGCTTTTCAGATTGGAAAGATTGGAACAAACATTACCCAAAGAGGAATTGGATCCCAATAGATGGGAAGAACATTAGACAAACAATCACTCCCTAAAGAAATAATTCAAGTCTTGTAATGTGAACCAGTTAGATTTTGGGTACCGAGAGAGCTCACCTGAGATTCTTAAGCCACTCTTACTTGCTGTGGAAGAATTGTAAAGAGCAGAACCAAAGATGAAAAACAACCCTATTTTCAAAAAGGGGAAAAGCTATATATCGATATATATTCTGGTATGCTTGGTGTTGCTATTGACCTGAATTACTGACTAAGTAATTAAAAGGATGATTTGGGAAAATTAAGAAAGGCAGTATCTTGGATAAATTCTGGAAAAGCAAGTCATGGTCATTCTCTTTTTTGTTTGCATTAAAAAATATTTTTAATTGTTGTAAAAAATCAAACCTACCTTTCCTAAATTAAAATATGTTATTTTTATTTATGTTGGCATATCACCCTTTTTTCAGTCCTTTTATTTATATACTTTATATTTTCTTTTTTTTTTCTTTTTTTAGACAATTGAGTTTATGGAAACTTTTGTGTTTGCTATTAAACTCCAGAGTCTGCAAAGTGTAAGGCTTGTGTTTAAGGTTCAAATCCAGACTCCCAGGAAGAAAACCATTGGCGAATGCTCACTGTCACTCAGGACTCTGAGCACCCAGGAAATGGATTACTCTTTGGATATAGCACCACCTTCAAAAATTTCTGTAAGTGACAATAATACATAAATAACCCTTAAGTATGAGTAACTTTAAATTATCAATTCATTTTATAAAAAGTATTTTTTAGTAGCTGATAAGAAAAGCAGGAAAGAATCATAAACTGTAAGCTCCATCAGAGATTGCCTTCAGATAGATTGGGAAAGTTGTTTTTAATCCTCAGTAAGCTATATATCTGTCCATAAATTTGGCAGAAACAAGGTTCTTACAGCTGGTGTTTTTTGTAAAGAACTTGATTATCTTTGAAACTTGACATTTGCTTCTCTCAACTAGCCAGCTGGACACTTAGAGTGTTTGGAAATCTCTAATAATTTAATTATATAGTTTCTATGTTAGGATAACATTTATAGAAATCAGCCATAAGCTTTTAAAAGGTCAAACCTTATATGATTTTAAATTTATCTAAGTCTTATATTTCTCCTACTTTTCAAAAATATTTACGATGACATAAAGTGGCTCTTAACCCTGAGTACACATTGGAATCACCTAGGGAGCTTTAAAAACATGCCCACGCCTACACCAATTAAATCAGGATATTTGGGGGGTGGGGCCAGAGGCATCTGTACTTCTTTATTCCATGTCTATTATTTTCTGTTCCAGCCCTAATGTGTTTTTTACAGTACTTATTACAACTAAGCATTATTTAAGTTACTTGTTTTGAACAAAACAAGGCTTGAGCTTTCATCTGTTTTCTTTATATTTTACAGTGCTCTTAGCAACAGCCTGTCATGTTCTTTGCATTGCATACTTGCATGTAGATGGATATGAAAGAATAAATGATGAATGAAAGAGTGCAAAATTAGATTATTGTGTTAAAATATGTTTAAATACATTTGTTTTATAGCTGTGATGGGAGTTCATCACTTGCATTTTTGAAACTAGCTAAGTAGACAGTAATATGGAACCCTGGTTTATAGAAAGCACAGGTATTCAAAATGATAATTCACATATTAAAACTTAAATTAGTGAGACTAGGAGAGTACATCAGACTCAGCAAAAGTATTTTCTGGGGAATGAGACATTGGAATCTTACCTGCCTGGGAGAACCTGGATGAACGATTATGGTTCCATTTCTACCAAATTATGTATTAGAGGTTGTGTATCAGCAAAGGTGTTATTTTATGTCTGGCTACAGATTTAGTTCATGTGAAAAGGTTTATTAATCCAATTTTATTCTGATTGAAAGCAAAAGCAGTGCATTCACTTATTTATTAAAGTCAGTGTTTCTTTCTGCCAAAATATACAAGTTTTATCATCACTTCATTCATTTCACAGGGGAGTTTTAACTTCTCAACAGTTGGAGTTTATGCTTTTAAGTGATTCACATTTCACTGTTTATCTCTTGATTTCTTAGGGCATGACCAGTTTCTTTTTTTTTATTGTTGTTATTCCTCGCCCGAGGATATTTTCCCCATTGAATTCTAGAGAGAAATGGGTGCTAGAGGCAGAGAAACATCAATATGAGAGAGACACACACAGCGATTGGTGCCTCCCGAGGCACCCCAACCAGAGCGAGTGATAGAACCTGCTACCCAGGTAGTTGCCCTTGCCTGGGAATCAAACCCGCGACCCTTTGGTGCGAGGGTTGAGCACCACCGGCCAGGGCGTGGCATTCCCAAGTTCTAAAACGCAGAATCACGTTTCAAGAAAAATGCCCAGGATTCAGCCAATGGAGTGTCCTTTTTCAGTGAGCCAGGAGCCAATCATTGCTGGGCCATCAGATAGGAAGCTCATCACCAAGCCCCGTTCAGCGGGGCTATAGCTTTGTTGGCGTTAATATCAACGAAGGCCTCTGTGTCTGTCTGTGCTGAGCCCTGTGAGATCTCTTAACGTTACGTTCTCGCTTCATTTCCATACCCACTCTTTTCAGCATGTGAAGAGTAATGTTTTTGTGTTTGGACAACTTCATGTTTCTCTTCTTTCACTCCAAGGATGTTGGAAGCCAGAGAAGTAGGCTGGGCCGCGCTCTGTTTCACAAACAAGTTACCAGCTTCATTCTGCTGTTAGTCAGCAATACTGCAGAGCACATTCTTTCTCCCCACTCTCCCCGGCTCCCCCTTATTGTTTGCCCCAGGTTTTCTTATTATTTACTGCCTCGTAACTTTCACCAGCTCCCTTCCTGCCAGCGCTGTCCCTGGCTGGCTTCCATACAGCAGAGTAATTCAGCTCCCAACCCACAAATCTCTTCATTGTCCAATCCGTTGTCTTCTGATTTTGCTAGCACCTACTCTGATTTCTACATTGAGAAGAAAAAGAATGGTGATTCTCATATATAGCACTTTCAAATCATGTTTCCTATGTTCTCAAAAAACAATTCCAATGACTACATTTAAGTCTTTGGACATATGCTTGCTCTTTCGGTGTTTATTTCACTGACATTGTCTCTAGTAAAACTGCTTAGGATTTAAGTTGCTTTTGATGCGAATTGTCTTTGGTCTCCCTGACCTGGGAGAATCAGTATGTTGCTGTAACTTGCCGTTTCAGAATCCATGAAAGTGAATAGCTCATATGTACAGAACCCATGACACTTAAGTCTAAACCTTCTCCTCTGACATGTAGTTCTGTGTGTCAATAAAGATTACTCATCTTAGCTCTTTAATTTTGAATTTTTGAAATATCCCCAAACTATTCTTTATTACCAAATGACGCTTTTGTGACATGCAGGTGTGCCATGCAGAACTTGAGCTGGGGACTTGTTTCCAAGCCGTGAACAGCAGGATTCAGTTACAAATTCTAGAAGCACAGTGCCTTCCAAGCTCATCAACACCGCTGACTTTGAGTAAGTATATACTGGCCCAAAGTGGAATCTAAAGACTGTATTAGCAAAAGATCAATTTTTCCCTACATTTCCTAAAGTGGAGATTTAAATTCTAGTAACTTTTATTACTTAATGCGAATACTTACCTTTTAACTTAGAATCACTTTATTGGGTTTCAAATGTTAACCCTTGTGTCTACCTGAATCCACTGGTCTCTTGATTCATATCCAGTTGTGACCTCTGCATTTGAGGCTGTTCCTTAGTCGGCTCCTTAGTTACTGTAGCTTGAGTGTCCAGAGGACTGCCAGATGTTTCTTCAGCCTAGATGATTTGTCTTATGCAAGCTTTGTTGGATACTCTGCTAATGGGAAACTTAATTTAAAAAAAACACCACTGCACACACAAAAATGTCAAACACAACCCTTGACACTGGTTTTCCTCCCACCCTTTGGACCCAGCCAGGGATTCTGATACTTTGGGTGCAGAGGCCAGGTTCACAGGGCCGCCCCGAGAGCTTGAGGGTGAGGTCAGTCCCACCCAAAGGGCGAAGAGTGGGGTCAGAGTACTCCTTGTTTCTACTGGAAGAAGAGGAGATATCTGAAGCAGACACAAGTAATGAATGTCCACTGTAACCAATGAGACTAAAAAAATACAGCCACGCATTCAACTCACGAAGCTAGAAAAACAGCACACACCAAGGAAAGAAGTAAGGAATTGGAGCCAAAGTTGAAGTTGATCATAAATATTGAGGCAACAATAAGTAATAAAACGGAAAGCTTTTTCTTCGAAAAGATCATTAAAATTAACAAACCTATGGTAGGTTGGATCAAGCAACAAATAGAACATAAACAAGGGGGAGAATATAGTTTCAAATTCAGAACAGATTCAACAATAATAAGACAGTACCATTTATAATAACCAATTCATTTGAACATCTATGTAAAATAAATGATTTTCTAAGGAAAATTGTTCAAGTTCCCCAAAGAAGAGTGAGAATCGGAATAAAACAATAACTGTGTAAAGGTAGTTGAAGAACCTTATCTAATACAAGCACAAGGCCAAGATGATTTCACTGGCACATTGTACCAGAAGATGCTTTCTGTTAATGGCAATAGCTCATCAGACCTTGAAAAGCGGCTTCTTTATATTTTTTACAACAAACGTATAGGTACAGATTTTTATATGGTGTTGTAAATACAATTTTATATATCAAACTGTTATGCTTCAGGTTTTTTTGTGAAGGTGGCGATGTTCAGCTCAGGAGAGCTGGTTTATAAGAAGAAGACACGCCTACTCAAGCCCTCCAGCGGAAGAGTAAAGTGGGGAGAGACTATGATTTTCCCACTGGTACAGAGCGAAAGGGGAATTGTTTTTCTCGTTAAGCTTTATAGTCGAAGCTCTGTGAGAAGAAGACACTTCGTGGGACAGGTTAGTAGGAGTTTTTATCTTGAATTCTTGCCTTGCACTTTTCTATGCATTTAAACAGTTGGTTAACAAGAAGAATATAGGATAAAATGGAAGTTTAATAGAGTACAATTCTTTGGCATCATGAATTAAAATTAAGTGTTGCCTCAAAAATTAAATTTTATCACAATTTTTGCTTTAATTCTAGTAGGTGGAATTTCTGAGTAGTCAGCTTATCTTAATATAAGACTTTTTTTTCTAAATGAACTTTACATTTTTAAAGGGGGGAAATAAGTATTTTTCTGAGCTTTTCAACTTTAAAAAGTATGAGAACGATGAGTTTTTCAGTAGTGCTCATTCCTTATGAAGAAAGAACACTTTTTAGTAATTAAATTTCTCAAGACTTCAGCTATTCATCTTTATTCTGTTTCATGTTCAACTTAATGTTTATCTCTGCTATTAACTGAAATATGTTAGATTTGAATTGTAGAAAACATCAATTTTAATAATGTTTGTGATATTATTTAGATAGTCAATATGTGTTTCTGGGTAAATCTACTTAAAAATTCTCAGTAACTTGTCTAAAACAACATAGTACTTGCCCACTTGCCAATTTTTTAGGAACTTCTTTTTACTTAAAAATTCTCAGTAACTTGTCTAAAACAACATAGCACTTGCCCGCTTGCCAATTTTTTAGGAACTTCTTTTATCATTTTGTTCTTTACCGTACTCTGAGTGGATCAGTGGGAGCTGTCTATTGTGTTCTACCTTAATTATAATCATGTGACTCATATTTAAATTCCTAAATCTATATTATTGGTTTAAAAGCTTCCATTTGACAAGATGTGACTAGCAGTTTACATGAAATCCTAAAGTTATATGTGAATTTTCAAAGATTGATATTAACTCTTTGATTTACTTCATATATTTTACACACAATATTTGTTTAAAAATTATAGTTTTGTTCCTCACTTTTTCTTATTCGAAAAGCTTAAACTTGAGAATTCTTACAACTAGCATACTTCTCAAAGCCATAAGACCCATGAAGTGAATTCAGTTAAAGCTTCCCTGTATCATCAAGCCTCAACTACCATGTACGAAGGGAATAGGAGATATATTTGACAGATGATTTTCAGAAAACTTTTTTGCTAATTCTAGTTTCTTGGTTGAGATTCTAGTTAAGAATAAGAATTCTGGAAAGGTTCTTGCTGGCCCTCTGTTCCCTGCAGCTTCTCCAGTAGTTTTGGGAACCACCATGATGGAGAAGCCAAACGTGGAGTCAAGATCACCCGCTCCCATATCAACCAGAGCACTCTTACATAATATGTTTTTATATCGGGTTTTTTTTGTAAGATTTTATGTGAAGGAAAGTTCTTCAGATCATGAAATGAAAGGGAAACATTCAAGTGCTAAAACCAATGGGTGACTTGCGCTAATGTTTTTATTTAAAAGAATTAGAAACTGAGTCTCAGAGAAGTTAATTTCAAAGCAGCAGCATTTGTTAGTGGTAGAGCTGAGGTGAAAATTCAGGTTTTTTCATTCCTTGCCCATCTTACCTCCATGATGCTTTACATAATGCTTTACAGTTTTCCCAAATTCATCGCATCTATTATCTGATATTACATAAGTGAAGAGTACTGTTTACTGTGGATTATTATGAAATTGTTTATGGTGGATCAAAGAATGACTAATGATTAGATTTCAATTAAAATTACAGTTTTTAAAAAAATATATTTTATTGATTTTTTACAGAGAGGAAGGGAGAGAGATAGAGAGCTAGAAACGTCGATAAGAGAGAAACATCGACCAGCTGCCTCTTGCACACCCCCTACAGGGGATATGCCCGCAACCAAGGTACAGGTCCCGGAATCGAACCTGGGACCTTTCAGTCCGCAGTCCGACGCTCTACTGCTGAACCAAACCGGTTTCGGCAAAATTAGTTTTATATAACTGATACAGTGCTTGAAAATGCACATTCCTTATCAATCTAATTTAAATCAATAGTCGGAATTAATTTTTACAAAAATTTTTTTGAGTGACTGGGATCAGTTTTAAGTTGAGCTCCTAGATTTATTGAATAAGAAAGGATACTCATTATTTTGGGGAAAATTAATGTAATATCTCACATTGAATTTTTAAATTGAATTGGATCATACAAAATAGTCCTCAGAGTGACTTAAAAGGTTAAATATTTTCACATTTAAGTTTCAAAGAGAGAAATAAAACTTTTGGAAAAGTGGAGAGATGTTTAATTGAAAATATGTTAACTAAATTTCCCATTGTTTTTCATCAATAAGAGTAATTGACTGAACTCATGGTTACTGTGTTAAGTAAATGGTTGTATTGTTCCTTTACAGATTTGGATAAGTGAAGACAGTAATAACATTGAAGCCAAAAACCAGTGGAAAGAGACAATTACAAATCCAGAAAAGGTTGTTATCCAGTGGCACAAATTAAACCCATCTTGAAGACTTCACACGTTATTTGGTGAAGAATTGGACATTGTTTTAGAAGACTTAAGATTTCAATCTGCTACCAATAAGAAGAGGCAAATCAATACATTTCTTAAGTCTTTCATGGAGGTCATAATTATAGTACATAAAGGATCTGTTAGAAAACTAAACGTGATAAAACATGGTATGAATTGCATCAGGTATCCAAAGTAAAGGAACTGTTTAAAAACTGTGCCAAATAGACAATAAAATAAAAGGGTTGTATTAATAGGGCAACTAAATAAATTATAAAACCAATGTGGATATCAACCATGGGTAGTTACAGCCATATTATGTTTATAGGGTTTGTTTTTTGTTTTTTAAAGGTTTACCTAGCTATTCAAAATCTACCATATCATTCTTTTTAGGACTATTAGACATTTAGAAGATGTTACTATTGACTGTTTCAGTGCTAATTATTACTGGTTATATCTTGACTTTATTGTTTACTTTTTGCTACATATTTTCTCCCAGAAAGCAAAAAAAATGAATTGATCTTCTTAAACTCCTGGGGAAAGTTTGTGCCCTGTGTTTATAATTTCCTATCCACAAGGTATCACATTGCTAGTTTATCTCCAAGAAATGTCAGATATAGACAACTACATTTTGGTAAGAATAATGAAAACACGAGAGGTTAAAGATTAATTGGAAACCCAGTATACACACATTTTGCTGTCTTTTTCTATCAAATATTTTACTCCTTGCTTTATTAGGAGTTGAAATAAGATGATTATGCATATAGCCCATCCTAATTAAGCAGAATTAAATGAATTTAAATAGCAAAACCAGTGTCGTATATAATAAAAGAGTAATATGCAAATTGACCATCACTCCCAACACACAAGATAGCTGCCCTTTGTGGTCAAAGATCCTGCCCCCATGTAGACACAAGATGGCTGCCACAAGATGGCCAGCAGGGGAGGGCAGTTGCGGGGGACTTAGGCCTTCAAGGGAAAGCAGTTGGGGTGGACCAGGCCTGCAGGGGAGGGAAATTGGATGGGACCAGACCTGCAAAGGAAGGCAAATAGGGGTGACCAGGCTTGTAAGAGAGAGCAGTTAGGGGTGACCAGGCCTGTAGGGGAGGAAAATTAGGGGCAATCAGCCTGGCAGGGGAGTGGTTATGGGGTGATCAGGCTGACAGGCAAAAGTGGTTAGGGGCAATCAGGAAGGCAGGCAGGTGGGAGCCAGCAGTCCTGGATTGTGAGAGGGATGTCCGACTGCCCGTGTAGACCGATCCTACCTGGATCGGGCCTAAACAGGCAGTTGTACGGACATCCCTCAAGGAGTCCCCGATTAGAGAGGGTACAGGTTGGGCTGAGGGACACACACCCCCGTGCATGAATTTCGTGCACAGGCATCTAGTTTTACGATAATCATATTCTTGTTTTTAGCTCCTTTAAATATAAATTACTTATTCTATAATTCACAGCATTAGAGTATTTTTCCGTTTTTTAAAATAACCATACCTGATAATACCATGTAGCAAATAATTTCTATTGCAGTGTCTCTCAGGTACTCTTTAGAACTCAGTGTGTGTGGATAATTTCAGTTTAGTTGGCCATGCACAGCTCTTTGGAGAAATAAATAAGGCTGCCCTTGATCTTGGAAAATTTTATTTTATTTTTGCTAATGAGTAGACCACGTGCTCTGTGTTCATGGTCTTTCATTTTCTTTCTAACTTTGTCCTACACATGCCAAGATATAGATGGTGATATTTTAGGCCAGAAGTGTACTTTGCTATAGCTTAAGCATGCCCTCCTTAATCCAGTTCTTATGTTCTGTGTATCTTATTAAGATTTTTCCCAAAGAAACACTTATTTCCCTTATTCTAGGTATTACCTTGCCTCAAACTGTAAGATGTACATACTTTACATGCCCTTTGCTCCTCCTGCTTAGAGTTTACACAGCAGCAGTGGTGGTGTCAAGTCTCTGTGCATGTTGAAATATTTATGTTTTAGATTTGTGAAAAGTGGCATATTGATCACATGGACTTTTAAGATAAATCACTTTGTGTGGTAGTCTTTTGAATCTTTGTGACAAATGGCAACGATTGGGAAAAAAATTTTTAAATAATTTTTTAAAATCCTCACCTGAGGGACATTTTTTTAAAAATTGATTTTAGAGAGAGGTGAAGGGCAAGGAAGAGAGAGAAAAAAATACTGATTGGTTGCTTCCTGTATGTGCCCTGACCCGGATTGAACCCCCAACCCGAGTATGTGCCCTGACCAGGAGCAGAACCCACAACCCTTGGTACAAGGATGATGTTCCAAACAACTTAGCCACACCAGTCAGGGCAAAAAAATATTTTTAATAGACTTTATTTTGTAGAGCAGTTCTAGGGTCACACCAGAATTGAGAGGAAAGTACAGAGATTCCCTTGTAATTTCTGCTCCCATATATGCACAGCATCATGCACCAGAGCGGGGTGTCTGTTAAAACTAACGCACCTTGCCAAAACCGGTTTGGCTCAGTGGATAGAGGTTGGCATGAGGACTGAAAGGTCCCAGGTTTGATTCCGGTCAAGGGCATGTACATTGGTTGCGGGCACATCCCCAGTACGGGGTGTGTAGGAGGCAGCTGGTTGATGTTTCTAACTCTCTATTCCTCTCCCTTCTTCTCTGTAAAAAAATCAATAAAATATATTTTAAACAAACTAAAAATAAAAAAAAAAAAAGAAAAGCACCTATATTAGCACATCATTATCACCCTATGTCCATAGCTTACATTAGGGTTCACTCTTGTATGTTCTGTGAGTTTTGACTTGCATAAGGACATGTACCCTCCACTGTAGTAGAGTAGCCGCTCTACCCTAAAAGTCCTCTGCAAATGCAATAATTTTAATAGCCACCAAAAAAGAAGTTATTGTCTTTTAGCTAATAAATAACAGATCTTGTTGTTTTAAGAAATGTAGGATTTTATTTAAGCAGGTTTTTTTCTTGTGTTCTGTTATTGCTTTCAGTTCCTAAATTTATCACATGTGGTTATGTATTTAACTCAATTTTTAATTTTTTACTTAATGTTCAGTATTTTTATAATACGTGTATATTGTATAATTTGAGGGAAAACTATAATTTCTTGTATGTCTTAGAATCTGAGGTAAATAAAACAATAAAAAGAAAACATTTTCATTTAAGAGTCCTTTCAGTTAGAGAAATATTGACATAACTAAGACCCCAGAGATTTTAATTAGAGTATACTGAAGCCTTTGTCAGGAAAAAGAGGTGCTGGATAGAGGTGTCCTGGTTGTGTCTTTGAAGCTTTATGTAGAAATATAAAAACAAACACTTTCCTGTTAATAGCTACTCATGTTATGAGAAAAAACATTAGAAGCTGGTCATAAAGTGTGAGAGACTGTGCAAAAATCACTTCTCTTTGTATTTACTTAGGTATTTCTTGACCTTTGCTCACTTCTAATCAGGAGAAGGGAACCAAGGCCATGTGGCCAGAGGAAGCCAGGGACAGGTCCATGTTGCTAGCTGACAGCTTGCATGCTATTTCCTAACAGTGTGTTTACTTGTAAGCTTGCAAATCAACACAACTAAATGCCTGTAGCCCATGTCAAAACATCACATCACCATCTGGCTGTCCTTTATTTATGCATGATGTTTTTAGCATAATGCCTGCAGAAATTACCACTGAAGTGTAATTCCAGCTCTTATCAGACCGTTAAGCAGGGATCAGTGGGATTTTAAACATATGGTATGTACTTGTGGTCTGAAAATAACCTAAACTGAACTTTTGTGTCAATTCAGGTATGTGAATTTCTCTGATACTAATGTACTGATATTGTATTTCCCAGCAGAAATTTCCATGGTTTAATCAAATAATTGCTTACGTATGAAGGATTTCAGAAATTTGCAGTCAATTTCAACTTTTCATATTATGGCAGTTCTGGATATTTCAAAGATATATGTTTCTTCTCTTTTCACTCTCCGTTATGTCTGGACAATCTCATCTGTCCCCATAGCTTCAAGTGCCATTAACTGGCTAAAGGCTGTAAATTTGTATCTTTCCCAAATCCTGCTGATAAGGTCCAGTCAGGCAATGTGGACATCACTTCTTGAACATGTCTCACACCAAACTTTTGATTTGCCACTCCCCCCACAAACCTGTTCCCCATCTAAGTAAAGGCAACCATCACCCACCTGGTTGGCCAGTGAGTGGAACCCCTCTTCCTCTCATCTTCCATAACTCAGTCAGTTACTCTATTCAGAAATGTACGTCCTAAGTAGAAACCACAGTAGCTTCCCTAGTCAGAGACAACATCATCTCCCACCTATAGTGCTGTGCTCTCCCCATCACTGGTCTTCCTGCTTCCCTCTTACTTCCCTCTAATCCATCTCCATCAGCAGCCAGAGTGATAGTTTTAAAATGCAAGTATGGCCCAGCGGGCGTGGCTTAGTGTTTGAGCATCACCTATGAACCAGGAGGTCACAGCTTGATTCCTGGTCAGGGCACATGCCTGAGTTGCAGACTCAATCCCCAGTAAGGGACATGCAGGAGGCAGCCAATCAGTGATTCTCTCCTATTATTGATGTTTCTACTTCTCCCTCTCTCTGCCTTTCTGCAGTAAAGAAAAAATCTATATACATAAAAGCCTAAGTGACCGTTCAACCGGTAGCTATGACACACACTGACCACCAGAAGGCAGATGCTCCGACCAGTAGGTTAGCTTTGCTGCTGGGGTCTGGCTGATTGGGACTGGTTGAGAAGGGCTAGACACACCCTGGAGCCCTTCCATGGTCCCTCTCCTGCTCTGATTATGCGCCAGTACGGTTCCTCAACCTGGCCTGCATCCTCTCTCAATCCGGGGACCCCTCAGGGGATGTTGGAGAGCTGGTTTCAGCCTGATCCCCACAGGCCAGGCTGAGGGACCCCACTAGTGCATGAATCTGTGCACCAGGCTTCTAGTGTATATATAAAATGTAAATATGACAATCATTCCTTTCTTTTGACTGCAATTTGGTATGAAATCC